AAGTCGTTTCTCACCCAGCAAGAACTTTCTCTGACCTTCCAATAGTCCCGGGTAAAACTAGCTGCAGATACAGTCTTGCTTCTCTACAAATACATGTGTCTAACATTTTCATTTGATTAGAATACAGTCATATATAATAAACAACACTGTTGCAGATTTTTATTTCTTTTAAAACAATTCATTTTTTTCTTCCTTCCAGAAGGAGTCACTGCACTCTGTTGAATGCATAAGCACTTTCCCTATTCCATCCTTGAAGGAAATGTGTAGACAGGGGTTCTTCCTTATCCTAACAAGGGAGGTTTAGAGCCGCCTTCTAGATTCTAGACACTAAGATAAAAGAGATGCTGGGCTCTCGGGAGATGGCTTTCTGTTCTGTCACTGTATCCGGTGTTTCCTACTTCCCTCTGCGATCAACGCTTTCTCCCTTTCCCGATGGAAGAAAGGAGGCTTTCAGTTCAGAAACCTAGAGACATCAGCCTGTGTTAGCAAGACTTCATCCCAGTGGCAGCGCTATGTTCCGCGAGTGTTTCTCCACAGGATATATAGCCTGCCAGGGACTGCGGGCTTCACACAGGAAAACAGAACTGTAATCAGGCCGCAAAATATGCTCTATGCATGGTTTAGTCTATAACCTTGGTATTCTCTCTCCCTCTCCCCACCCCATCTCCCAGTCTCTCTCCCGCATTCTTTCCCTCCCTCCCTCCCCTAGACACCTGACCAGAATTCCTTGCACTTCTGGGTCTCTTTGCAGTTTCCACAAAAGCATGCTCCAAACACGACATGCACCGTGGTTATTGCTTCTTATCAGCAAAGCAGTGGGCAGATGGGCAGACTGTGTGTTCTTTTATGATTCTAAGTGAGGGTCACTGTCCTGACTTGGGAGGGGCGGAAGAAAACAACGCGAAAACGTTTCGATGGTTTCTAAGACAGATAAAATCCAAAAGCTTAAAATGGCTGTCACAGCAGAGCAAGTTAACCCTGTTTTCTTCCCCGAGCAGCACTGTGGCCATCTTGTCTGCTCATGGAGTCACGGACTTTGCACCTGCTTGTCTGTGTGTGTCTCCCAAAGAGATGGTGAACTCATGAGGACAGGGGCTGCCCGCCTTTGCTCTGCGTACCCTTCGCACAGCGCCATGGACTATAAACAAGTGTTGTTAAATACACAGTACAAAGCATTAGTGGCCTCTGCAATGTTCAGCCTAATTAAACGGAGTATAAAAGTCTACCCCAAGTTCTAACCCTACAGCCCTCTCTCTAATTCCACAGAACATTTACGCATCTTTAACTCTCAGGAGAGGGCAGCATCCATCTTGCCTGCCACACATCAAGGGCTCCTGTTCTGTTCCTGGCTCAGTGCTCTGCAGAAACTCAAACGTGGTGTCGTGCGCTAGGCAAGTCCCTAACACACACTCGTCTGCCTACCCCCGTCTCTGCCATTCACCGAGTCACTTGCGGGTTCTTTACCTTTCGTGCATGGACACGGGAGACAAAACATCTCGGCAGTAAGAATTTCATATTGCTAATATAACCAACTACTCTCTTGGGAAACCCTTTTTTAACATTTAATTTTATTTGTTGCCCTGTACATGCGTATGTGTGTAATACCACACGTGTGTGGATGTCTAGGGAGGCAGGGGTGAGCATCAGAAAACTGGGGCTGGAATTACAATTCCAGGTGGTTGTCCATCACTCAACACGGATGCTGAGAACCAAACTTGGGTCCGTGGGATGAGCAGCAAGTGCTCTTAAGTGCTGAGCCCTCTCTCCAGCCTCCCTTTTGGAAGGTGCTTATGGAACAGACGTATCCAATTGAGATTATCCACATATAATAAGTGTTACTCCTTTTAACATGAGTTTTGTCCCAGTGTCAGGGATACAGCCATAGTCCTGTCCATCCTACCTAAGCAAGAGCTCCGCCATGAACTATACTCCAAGATCCACCAGCACACTTTGAAAATTCAACTTTTTTTTAACAAAAATATTTGTGTCTATAAAGGGTGCATGCATGTGTGTGTGTTTTGTGTGCACACACATGTGCACACAGGTGACCACTTGCATTTATCACCTGCATGCACATGAATGTGGAGGTCAGAGGTCGACATCAGGTACTTTTCTCAGCCACTTCTCCACCTTGTATTTTGAGCCAGGGTCTCTCAGTGAACTTGGAGGTCACCGATCTAGCAAGACCAGGTGTCAGAAAGCCCCAGGGATCTTCCTGGCTCCACCCCCAGTCGCTGGGATTGCAGGTGTGGACCGCATCATGATGGAGGTGTTGGGTGGCTAAACTCTGGCCCGCATGCTTATCCAGCCAGCATGCACTTTCCCAAGGGAGGCACGCCCCCCAAGTCCTCAGGAAAATATTTTAAGTGTTGAGTGTACTGCTTATATAATCTGGGATGAAGCATGTGAGGGATAGATCCAGCTGTGAGCATGTCTTAGGTAGGGCAGGAGTAACAACAGTAGAGTGGGCTAGTAATAGAGCCTCTAGAGCCAACACACACAGCTTCAAATCACGGCCCTAATATGCAACAGTGGTGCGACCAGGTAGGTCTGTAAAGTGAGGGTAATGCTAACGTCTACCGCTAAGGGCTTCTGTGAGGGTCAAACAACATATCTGAGGAGCTTAGAACATAAATTCAAGAAATATAGGAAGGGCTCAATAAATGTCAGCTTTAAGCATTTTGATTTATCCAGAGAGAGAATATGAGTGATCTCTCTCTAGGATATAAATAAGTCCCAGATTGCTGTGGGTTCTTTTTTTTTTTTTTTTTTACAAATTTCTTTACTACTTTTACTTAAGTATCTTATATGTTTTTGTCCATTATTCTCCTTATTTTTAGGAGCTCTCTTTTGTATGCATGCTTGTATTGCTATCTTAGGGATCAAAACCAGGACGTTGCATATATGATAGGCAAGTATTCTCCCAATGAGTCACACCCCCACCCTCTAGGTTCTATTCTTCATCATTCAAGTTAGCTTCTGATTCTTAACATAATGTCACATTCTAGTTGATGCCTTTTTCAATGCTCTTCCTCCTCCTGTCCACCACCTGTTCTCTTCTTCCTCCCCTTCCTCATCCCATCCTCCCCTTCCTCTTCCCGTCCTCCCCTTCCTCCTCCCGTCCTCCCCTTCCTCCTCCCGTTCTCCCCTTCCTCCTCCCGTCCTCCCCTTCCTCCTCCCATCCTCCCTTTCCTCCTCCTGTCCTCCCTTTCCTCCCCTTTCTCCTCCCATCCTCCCCTTCATTCTTTCATCCTCCCCTTCCTCGTCCAGTCCTCTCCTTCTCCTGTTCTCTTCATATCCTTCTCGTCTTTCTCTTCTTTCTCCAACCTCCTTCTCCTCATTTTTTGTTTTTCTGAAACAGAATCTTGCTGTAGCCCAGGCTGTCCTAGAACTCAAAATCCTCCTGCCTCACCCCCCTAACAGGTGTGTGCTACCATCCTCAGCTCACATTCAGTTAACAATACCCCTTCTAATTTGAAGCTTTATGGTGGCCGGAGAAACCAAAACACTGCGATACAAATTCATAAGGATAAGGGTTTCCACCAGTGAGGACCACAGGGACACTCCCAAGAATATGAAACCTAAGTGTTAACTCAGAATTCACTGACGTCTAGTTGTACTTTGAGGTCTTTCTGGCTCACTTATTGTGTCCTCAGCTGTATTCTGGAAAGCTGGAAATACCAAATAAGTGACCTATGAGTTAACGAGGCACCATTGTTCTGATTCTGTCAAGCATTAGATTAATCAAAACCAAATGAAATGTTAGTTTCTTCACGTCTTGCACTGTTAATTTTCTGCAATTATTAATCAGCTATCAAGGTAATTATTAAGCGTTCAGTCCAAACAGTGTTTTTAGTGCAGTACCTGCCCCGGCGTGGATCTTACCGACTTTGAGCACACGGGTATCACTCACTCTGCTAGCATACGAAGCTCAGGCAGGATAAAAATATTCTTATGCAATTCAATCCATTGCTCTGAGGCGGAAGTCATCAATTCAACGAAAGAGAAAAATAAGACTCATCAAAAAGCCTCCATGAAAGAGCAAGTGATAAATAGGTAACGAGAGAGAGAAATAGGGAGTGTGCGTTCTTGATATTTAGAGAAAAAAGAAACAGAAGACTATGGATTCACAGAGGACACGGAATAATTTACCAACTTTATTCCCAGCCCCTAAGAATAATAAGTACCCAATTTACGATTCGGTTCAGGAACATCTTCACCCTTTCCTCCCACTGGAAAGGCATGAGAGGGTTTGATAAGGACACCGTGCACATCGAGATGATCAAACCTTCTGCTCCTGTGGCCAGATGCCAGGAGAACACAGCAACCTCCCACCCTTGGGAAATCTAAGCCTGCACCGGAAGCTGGCAGCCACCAGGCCACAATCTCTACATGAATAGATTTAAAAAATCATGGATAGTTTTGCATTACACGTTACCCACCATTATATACATTTTTAAATGTTTTAACAATAAAATTCTTTAACTCCTCCTATTTGCAAAAATTCAAATAAAATCGGCGCTGGGGGTACGGAAGGAGATTTGCACTGAGTTCACATGCCCTTCCCTCGAATCGGTTTTGGGCAGAGGTGTGTGAGCACAGGTGAAATATGGTATAATAGGCTCAAGGGTCTCAAGTATATCACAATAAATTAATAACCCAATTATCTGTAAATGCAAATTCCAACTCTTAGGCATCTCAGTGAAGCCACTAGATTGGAAAGGATGGAAAAACCTAGGCCCTGCAGTCTTAAAATGCCCTCCTAGCTGATGAGCTACTGTTTTTATAAAGAGATCAGTAATGATGTCTTCCTGCTCCAACATGGAGTTAGTGTTTCCCTAAACACATCAGCTTTGAGAGCACTGGATTACCCAAGAGGATCAGCACCACAAAGAAGCCAGGAGTTATTCCTGGCAAATCAGTGATCAGCAACACAGAAAATCCATCGCCGGATACAAAATGACAACAGTAAGGCAAGGATGCCCAGAAAGGTGACTCACCCTCATCCTGATAATCTGACCAAAAGGATGCATCTGAGGTGAGGGGTGGACCGTGGGTCCCACTCAGGTTGTCATCAGAGCTGTCCTGGCCAAGGTCTCCTCCTGAGGGTCCAAAGAGAAAATCAGGTCATCCTGTGTCGGACATCTTGGTGGGCATATTTACAGGTGTCTCCTGGCACTTGCAAAAAGGGATGCAGCTCTCACCTGATGGGCCTGTCTGCTACTGTCAGCACAGGAGAGAACTTTGAGAACCAACTTACCTGTGTGTGAAATTTTCCCCTCCCACCGACCTCTTTCTAGCACTAAGCAACTGGTAGCTTGGAGTGGAAGACCTTTCGCCACAAAAGAGCAATTTCTCTGTCACATTTAAAATGAAAACACAGCTGTATAAATTTGTTTTCATATAGTCTACATCTCCATGAATTACAACCTTTACCCCGAAGGCCTCTTTCTCTTTCCGTTTCTAAATGAAACAGAAAGAAAGGCGCAAAGGGCTAATCTTCTCCACACAATGTGATGGAGCAAGGTCAACACTCTCCCTCTGCCGAAAAATAAGAGCAGTAAACAGAGAGAACCCGGGCTCGGCTGGATTCTATTCCTATTTAAATCACTACTTGTTTTGCAACCTTAATAAAGTTCTCTCTTGTAATTCTAGTTTACAGCCTGCAAGCAACCTCCCAGGAATTCTAAAAGCCGGAGGAAGGTAATATTTGTTCTGCAGAATGACTTTGATAGAAGGTAATGTATATACAATACTGAATTATGCAATTAAAACATTGCTAATCCCTTTTGGGTGTTTTCGGCCTGCATTGAATTGTATTTTGTAGAAGTGGCCAATGCTATCATGATACTTTAAAAGGTTCAGGCGGAAGATGCTAGCTCACTCAGAAACCGGAAGAAAATGAAAGCACTGTAAATTGCTCTCCTTAAAAATCCCCCAAACAGAGGTACAGACCGCTGATAAAAAGAACGCCGACAGCTGCTTGGTTCATTTCACAAACATGAAAACGGGATTTTTCAACTGAATTTAATATTATCTCCGATACTAATTTCCAAAGGAAATCACCAATGCTAATCTCAGTAAACACTGTAGCGTTTTTTGGCCCAGGATTTCAACCAGGGAGCCGTGAAACCAAACAACCTGCATAGAATCTGTATTGCCTCACTTTAAAGGTTTATTTCCTAAAATTAAACTACAAGGATAGGGAGGACATAAAATGATATAAAAAAAAAAAAAGGAAAAGAGGGAACGGCTGTGGTCTTCTTTTGCCACAAACCAGATTTCTCTTCAAATGCTCGGTGGTAGGTAGATGCCCGAGACTGCCTGGAACACTCGCAGGCATAGGACTTTAAAATAAACTGTGGAGTTTATTGTAGAAAAAGATTCTTTTACCTGATGCAACAGTGACCGGCTAAAGCCAGAAGAAACACGCTCTGAGCATCAAAGCATCCCTGTGCGATCACTATCCAATAAAAGCCTCAAACACCAGATAGAGCGTTAAAACACTCAAATTTTACACCGTGGCAGAGCCACTGAAATTACATTATCAGCAAGGATGTAAATGAACTGCCTGGCAGAAACCTGAACGGGAGCTGCAAAGACAAAAGGAATTTTCATTTTGGAGGCAAATCAGAAACCTTTTTTTGTTGTTGTTGTTGTTGTTGTTGTTTTTAAAGCAGTGTATGTTCTAAGCAAAATTTAACACTTATATTGAACTTCATTGTCCAACCATCATTCTAGATCAGCTTTCTGCTTGCTTCATATACCTGATAGAACCACCAGTGAGAGGAAGAGCCCGTTCCTGTCAAGTCTAACATTTAATATATGTTATTATATGTTATATATGTATATGCATGTTATACATTATATTATATATGTGTAATGTATATAAAATCAGAGAGATTTTTGTGTTTGTATTTTTAAAGACAGGGTCTCTCTATATCACCCTGACTGTTCTGGAGCTTACTTGTGTAGACCAGGCTAGCCTTGAACTCACAAAGATCCTGCTGCCTCTGTTGCCCGAGTGCCGGGTCACCGCTGGCCATCCTTAAATAAGTTCTGCTTGGTGTAGAAGCTCTCACCCCGCTTGTGTAGAGCTTTCATCCAGTTTCCCTCAAAGCAGCTTCCTCTATGAAGAAAATCTGCCAAACCAACAAGATAATACTGGCACATTCGGGCTTTAGGTGTACTTCATGGAATTTCTGATAAAGAGCCAGTCCGGCGTGCATACTGCATTCTTAGTAATTCCTTGTCTAAAAGCCTTACGCCAAACACCTGCCTGGAACTGGCTCTTGACTTAGGCACCTCAGAAGTAAAGTCACTTTGGGGTGATTCCAGCGGCATCTGAATAGTGATATAAGGTGAACTTCAACTCCACTGAGTTCGGGGCCAGTCCGTGCTCCTGCCTCTATATGCAGTAAGGATTACAACTCAACACTTCCAACGGAGCCCAGGTCGGCACTCCAGACGGCTGTGGTAGAGGAAAATACTGAAAACCTGGCCTTATTCTTCAGTGCAGTTAGTTCCTGATGCTGAAGATGTCCTAAGTGTTTTTACTGTCACACCCAATGGCCCGCCTCCCTTGGGCTCACACAGAACCTGGTCTATCACACTGTGTTAATAGACGCTCCTGTATAATTAAAATGACCACAGCTAGTTGAGATGCATGGGTGGCAAGTTTTATAGAAGAACTGACAATTACCTTGGCCATTTTGGGTCAGCTTAAGTTAAAAGGCCTAGTTTTTCCTTAAAGCACAGTCACTCGTGTCCTGTGGATTCACCCGCAGCTCTCCCAGGCCCGGTTCCAAGTGGCCACACTGCAGTCCAGTGGGAACAGACACAAACGATCACAGGCTGCAGTGACAGCCATGTCCACTCAGCCACCGAACAGTCAGGGCTCGGAACTCCATCTGCTTAGAGCAGCTCTCTCCCAAGCAAGCCCCTCTGCCACCAGAGACCCCCTTCCCGCTGCGACTCCCTCAGAATCAATACATTTCTCTACAGATACACATTCTAACACACTGTATCTCCATTAATCACATCCCCTGCCTTCAGCCTTTTCCTTTGTATTTCTAAACAAGATCTAGGGGAACTCTATCAGGGGTTCCCCTGCTATTAGCTGGTAATTTGTCCCTCGATCCTAAGTGTCATAAGAATCGGGCGCTCTATAGGCTCCTCCGTATATTCAGTGGCGGGCACCTGTGCTGAGGGCCCATCGCAGGGATGATTTCTCTATTGTTCTTTTCTGAGAGGCAAACTCAATTTCATCCACGCTTCACAGAGTGATAAGTTGGGAATTTCTGGGGTCGGAGCCGAAAGATAAAGCAGCTTAGTGTCAAGTGTCAGGTGATTATTTGCCAGGTCTCTGTGCTGTTTGTTTTTAATCCCTGGGTTTTCATGACCAGCTAATGGGTTTCCACCATCATCCTGAAACAGTGGCTCGGCCACTAGAAGTTGGCTTTTGCTGGCTCGGATTCAACCAACTGTTGCCGCTCCGTAAGCTTTACGGCGAAGTGAATTAAACTGCTAAAAACTTGCATCAACTAATTCAACTCCAAACAGAACAGGAGAAAAATGAGCCACGATGTTCCCCTCGTAGCTCTTGACGGACAGCAAACCAGTCTACTGCTTAGGGACAAAGACAGAGAACGGTGACAGTTTGACCAAAGAGATGAGAAGAGACAGAAAGCAGGTGGGACATTTTTTCCAATGCAATGAAATATAAAAACAAATGACATATAAAACACACGCACGTTTTCTGTTCGATACGTGAAAGACTCGTTAGTTCCTCTCATGTCAGTATAAGTCACCCCCGCCTATTTCTCTTCGAACTAGTTGTGAGTGTGTTGTTATAAAGTCCCACGTCACCTCTCAGCAACTGTGTGTGCTACATGTTTAGAAACTTCCTGGACTTTCTATGACTTTGATGCATTTCTTTGAATAATGTACAGAAATAGAAACCAGCGTGAAACTGTAATTTTTTTTTCTGTTACTGCTATTGCCATTAGAAGACAACACAGGACTTCCTACTCCACTTAGCATTTAAGAACCCACGAGGCATGTGGCTCCCTCTTTAAACTAATAAATCCTCACTAAAATGCTATAAACAAAGTTTCCTGATCCAAATCCAGTTAACTTTCATGCTTGGTAGCATTAATATGGCCAGCTCTTCACAGACCTCTTTAACACGAATACAGTTCCCCAAGCCGGACTGTGGTAGCATCATCAAAATGGCCACTTATCACTCCTGATTATAACCCTTCAACTAAACCACTGGATCTAAAGAAATACGTTGAACACAGATGTGACCAGACATGTGAAATGTTATTCACATGTGAGGATATTACCAATCACATCACAACTCCAAAGCTGTTGGGGGCGGGGCTGCAGGGGCGGGGAGGCTGTCTGTCAATACTTGCGTTATAAATTACACACCAAAGCTGTGGGGGCGGGGGAGGCCGTGTCTGTCAATACTTGCATTATAAATCATACACCATTTTGCACAAAAGCATGCATTAGAAAATGTATGGTGTTTCCCACAGAGCATCTGAGAGGCTTCACCGCCTTCTAAATATCCATCTGGACGTGGGTGGTTAGTTCTTAGGATTAATCCACGAACAGTGAAGGTCTCAAATTCTTCTCCATCCCATACAGTTTGAGCTCTTGCCCATCTTTCTCCTCTTCTTCCATCTATCCATAACTCAATGCATAAATATGCTCCCCCTCCCCCCCCCGCGCACACCTCCAAGGCCCTGGCAGCAAGTGTAATATTACCAAATGCCATTAACTCTGCAGAATGAATGAGAGGCCAGGTGAAGGGAGTTCCCGCTTTATCATCCTTTACAAAACTCGCTCCAACGAGACCTCCAGTGTACCAGCAATCTGACTTTAAGATCTGAACTTAGTTCTCTATCCTGAAGACACTGCTTTCTAATCACACGACCAGGCTAAGAATAGCATCGTTAGAGCGGAGCCGGGTAAAAAAGAGGAAACAGACGCAATTTGATACTCGCAGAACAATCTCCACGAAACACCTGTGAATCCAGAAACCCACGGGGCAGCACAGCTTAATAACATTCTCAAACGAACCGCACCAGGCAGC